GACTAAATCAAACCAAGATCTTTACCCACACCTACATACGCTCACTACAACATCTTTCAACAGTGCCAAACTTACACTGCAAATTTGTACATTATGTCACTTTCTAAATGAGGCCTTGAAGTTTCGTTACAATCTACTATTTGTGTGTTAGGTTGGACAGAAAGCCAGTCCTATTTACTGTGTATAAGGGGAGCAGTATCATTTTGACGTATCAGCACTCACTGATATATACAAACAGTAAGTAATTCAAACTCAATGTCAGTGCTAAGAAAAAATAAGAAATTGTTTAAAAAGTTCCTTAATCAAACATTTGCTGGTTTCACTTACTTCCAGTTGTTGGTTTTCTTTGTCACATATGATTGTAAATAAAATAAGCATGTTTAATTGATTCATCAAGAAAATAAATTACAGATTTATCATTAACAAAATACTCTACTCTACTATTTATAAAGGGATAGTGAATATATTGCATTACAATTTCTGTCAGCGTATAAAAGCCACTTTTTGTTTATATACACAAAACATAGGGTCACATAAGTTGAGGTTGGGGTACCCTCCGCTGCACTCCATCATCTGTCACTGCAGCTGCAGCAGAGACGGTTTTCAAAGCAAACATTCTGGTCTGCTCTGCCACATGGAGAACCTCTGCGCTTTACTGTGCATCACCAGGACAGAAGAGTTACAGCAACAATAGGAAGAGAAACTGCAGAAACCCTTGTCCTGCACTCCAGGTATTGACCCCTTTACCTCAAAGAATGGGAATACCTCCACACATCAGACCCACCAATAAGAAAATCTCCTATCACAGGGCAAGGAAGCAGGAAGCAGCTCATTCACTTGACCAAACCATACATCTGGTACAGTTGAAGGCAGCAACCTTTCTGGGAAGCACACCTGTTGCATTTGGAGAAACAGATGGAATGACTGATAGCAGACTTTATGTAAACTGCAGACATAGTTTAATACCGTACTTAGATAAGGCATTCCAATTAATATTCCAAATATGGGTAGCTCATCAGGACCAAGTGGGCTATTTCAATCGTTGTCATTATCAGTAAATAAAAGGGCAATTATGGGTGATTATTTGAAGACATAGCAGAAATTGTAAATGATGAATGCTAGATAATTATATCTACAAAGGCTGATCATATTGTGTCTCATTATTTTCTAAAGCTTCCAGTGCTTATGCACCTGTTTCATCCGCTAAATCACCACTGTCCAATACTGACTGGGGCTGCAAGCAACAATTATTTTCATTATCGATTCATCTTTTGATTATTTTCTGGATTAATCTATTACTTGTTTGGTCTGTTAAATGTCTGAAAGTAGAAAAATAATACAGGCCAAGGTAATGCCAAAGTGAGGTAAAAAACCCAAAATTTAGTATTGCAAAAACAAACTAAACAATGTAAGTAAAGCGGAAAATCTTTAGATTTAAGAAGCTAGTTATTGCTTGGTATTTTTGCTTTTTGTGTATCTTGATTCCATCCACAATGTGAATTGTACCTGATAGAAAATGACAAATTAAAAACATAAAGCCTTTTTTTCTCAGAAATAGCAATGAATGCTTTCAGATATATACAGTATATTCTAAAGCACATAGGTTTGGCAGTAGCAGCCACAACCTGCACTAACACAATGGTCCAGTTAAATAAGGTTTAACTCCTGGAAAAACAACGTAACAAGAAACAAATAGTGTGGAGGTTTATTTGAAGCTCTCTTCTTGTTCTTTGCCTCCATTTCACATGCTCACAAACACTTTCCAGAGCTGCATTGTATTGTCTGTGTAACTCTATAAGCTGCTACAGCTTCTGTTCTTGATACACAAGCACTGTTCAGTAACACTACCCCTTGGATAACATGTTCTAGGTTACCAGTCAAACACGCACACACAATGGCTAGCATCATCCTGGCCGTTCCCTGACCCCATTTGGACCAGGCGTACCTGAAAGTTTTACTGGGCCAAGAGGGAACCGCAATCCTGCGCGGGTAGAAAGCAGAGACCCCAGATTATGCCTGAGGTTAGATAGAGAAAGATGCTCTTGGCATCACGAGTCCTCCTGAAACATGTAACAACAACTTCCTCATTGCTCTTAGAATAACCTGTTTCAGACTATTGCAGACTAAACATCTTACACTTTCCACCTAAACACAACTAGTCCATCAAACCTGGGTTCCTATAGATCATTCTAAAGAATGTTCACCTGCTGGAGGAGGAAACTGAAACATGTTACCTGTATAGAAAATGTGGTCTATATGCGGTAAATTGTCTGTCAAAGAAAGCACAATAAATTGACTTTCAAATGATATAGTCTTGGCACTACTTTAGTGGCATAAAACAAACTGATAATCTGTTTAAACAAAGCAGCTGTGTATAGGAATTGGCGCACTTGATCATTCGGACCAACACAACTGAGTGTACCTGTGTAACAAAGCTGTAATGGTTACAGAACACAGGTTGTTAACTGATATAAAGCATTATTCAACCCATTGGCTATTCATTGGAAAGACAGGGAAAGGCCGAAGCAACAATGGCTACCTTCCTTCAACCTGCCTCCAGTCTAAACATCGTTCTTTCTATTCGGTTATATAACTGCAGTGTCTTCGATTTTAAAAAAAAACTAAAAAAGGGAGTTTTACAAGTGGTGGACTAAAACTGGGGGGAAAAGTCACTTTCTTGCAATTGCATCAGTTTGAGTGAAAATCCCTGCTTACATTATGCTGTTGTACATCCTCCAGCAGCACATTCCTGGCTCTCCACACAGCCAACTTAACACAAATATAAAGTAGAAAAAACATAAAAACTCAAAAAGTCTGTCATTAAAAATGCTGAAATAAGACTTTTCATCCAAACGTCTTATTGAAATTGCTGTGAATACAAGAACATAAGAGGGCTTTCATAACTTTTCAAATGCCGGCCTATGAGCTTTGTTTACATTCTTATTGTGTATAAATGTTGAAGCCAAAGAGGCTTAACTTTCAGAGAACAGTGTACAGTGATATAAACCTCATTCAGCTTGTGTTAAGAGGGATATGGGTGTAGCGCTTAACCCGTGGAAAAAAACAAAAGATTTTACTTTGAAAAATATGGATTGCACTTCAACTTCAGACTACACTGGTAGGACCTACACAACTTTTCCACCAAGGATCCTTCGATCCTACAGTGGCTTCAGCATTTGTTTCACACGTAACACACTCAACCCTAGTTGAAGGCATTGAATAACAACCTTGACACCAAAGAAGCAAAAAGAAAAGTCTTGGGGCTGTAGAGCTCAGAGTTGAAAACTGAGTTAGGGACAGATGTAGAAATGTGAAATTTTGAACAATTTTAAGAAAGAAAATCTAGAAAGCTACACTTGAGGGAGATTTCTGTAAAATACATAAATGATGTAAATTAGGCTAGTCATCTTTCCATAGCTTGGCCTAAACGTCTGATGCTAAGACTCTTTGATGCCTCTGACTTGTGGAAGCAAAATAGATTGCCCATTCATGCATTGCAGAGAGAATTCCTTTGCTTTCACCTAAACACACCTTTTCAGCAGGCAGCCAATCATTTCACCCCCCCCCCCCCAAAAAAAAAGTCGGATATCAGTTCAAAAAAGTATAGCCACATCAGCCTTCACCAAAGGAATGTCATCTGACGTCATGTATTTGGGATCGGATTTCTTCCTCCTTCTCTTTCTCTCTCCCCTGAAAAAAAGTAAGCGTGTGCATGTGAGTATGTGCGCGCGCGCGTGATGTGTTGGGTTATTCTTCCCCTAGCCTATATTCTCCAACGTGCCCACTGGATCCAGAGCCAACAGCATGGGGGTATGCGATCCCCAAATCACAGTCCCACTTATACCCCCCTCCACTGCTAATCATGCAGAATGACAATTAACCCAGTCCTGTTATTAAATTTGAAAAAAATGACGCACAACCGCCAAAAATCTGGATCTTAAGTCATCTTTTGCATCTTTATTTTTTCCGACCTAACTGCTGCCATATCTCTTGTCTCCTCCTCACTGATGAACTAAACGGCTTGTGATACCGTATTGTTTTTTCATGTAGGTACGTGGAGGGCAGATAATCGACCGTTTCAAGCAGGAGACCAATGTTTGATTTCCACGTCTGCATCAGGGAGGCTGAGAGAGAGAGAGTTGTCTTCCCTGCACAAACAGACAGACACGTAGTCGTTTCTGAAAGAGAGAGAGAGATAGAGAGAGAGAGACTGGCTAGAAGGAATGCTAGGATATGCTGGAGTTGAGATTTTTTCTTCTCCAAAACCTTTTTTCCTGCATTCTACAATCGCACACAAACTCTACGGAAAGTCGCTATAACACAGCACCTTTAACTTTTCTCAAAAGTTATCTAATGCAAAACAACCCCCTATGGTTTCAATTCAGTTATTTCGCAACCCCCCTGTCAAATCTGACTGTCTCAGCATCTTCCATTCCAATTTATTTTCCAGCTATAAAAGTGCTCATTTCCTGATTTTGAGCAGCTACAACATAACCGACTATTTACAGAATGCATGTCGCAGCGCGACAAATGTGATATTTTGCAGAAACAAACCAAGGAGAAAAGGTTTTCTCCTGTTGCGCACTCACTCCATCCGAAGTCCTCAGAGACAAAAACACATTCTTTCGTGAAAGCTGGGAAATCGGGACCACAAAGAGCAGGCTTCAAACGCACAAACCCGACACATTCACTCGACTTGTGTAAAGAACTAACACGATACTCCCCGCTCTTTAGCTTTTCCCGTGTTGTTTCAAAATAAACGAGTAAAATTGCCCAAAAGTTTCGATTCCCCCCCCTCTCTTCGCAGCAGTGAAACAGTTTTCCTTTTTCCTTTGCGCTGGCCAAGTGGCCCAGACTGCCGGCGTCAGCGCTCAGCTCTCCAAATTCACACACAGAGAGACACGCACTTCTAAAACTTTTTCAACATCGACTCCATTGGCCTCCATTCCCGTTCTTTGTGGGGTGGTTCGTATTGTACAAATATGTGTAAAAGAACTCACCTCGCTGCAATAAAATTATCTTCAAACAGACGGGGCTGCGCGTTTTTTTATTCCCAGGGTCGGGTCTTGACTGTCTGCTGGCGCGGCGCAAACCGTACTGTGATACTCCGCCATGTCAATCAAAAAGCTACGCACATGTAGTCAGAGCCCGCCTCCTTTTACCGTAATGCACGCTGCGCATTGAAAAAAGCCACAACAGAGCAGAGCTTCTCCTTCACCTATGTGACGGAAGCAATCAGCAGGCTTGTTTACAGAACTGTTCAAGCAGGGTAGGAATTTTACAAGCCTCAACAACAGGAATCAAAAATATGATTTTAGATAGCCTACTTTCTAAACTGTTATTGATCCAGTTTATGATTCATAAGCCTAATATTAACACATTTTGTGTTATTGCATTATATTAGTAATGGACACTGGTCAGGTAGACATAGAAAATGTTATAATAAACGTCCATTTGGGAATCCCAATTACATTACAACTTTCAGCATAATTTTCAGGAGAAATTTAGATTTTACTTAAAAGACCATCATCTTCATGTATTACATGGCCTAAAAGTTGTTGTGTCCCAAAGAATTTCTGTCCTAAGGGATGTCAGCCCAGAAAGGTGGGCGTCAGGCACACTCTTCTGCAAATAAAAGCAAGCTGAATCCAGTTTAGGCTGGTTTACATTTATCTTTCATTATGACACAACAGCACCAGCAAATGACCTGGTCTGATCCGTGTCACCATGCTCACACAAGTCACTTAAATTTTATCCACTATCACAACAACAACAAAAAATTTAACACAAATCAGTTTTGCAGATATTAACTTTATTATGATAAACAATCTTATGATACTTTTAAGTGTGTCAGGTGGGTAAAATCTTTGTCCCAGTGCCTCCAAAACAACTTAGACAACAGGCCAAAGTCCCTCTGGTGGTTGCACTGAAACCCGGCATCTCTCAGCTGACGGGTCTAAGAGTTACAGGTCCAACTAAATCTGGTGTTTATATAGAAACATTGATTTATACCAAAAATACCAAAATATAATTTGGTGCACAGACGTGTTTAAAAAGGACCACAATGCTATGTGTACTCTACAGGGCAAGCGATACTATAAGAGACTGTAAATACACTGCACAGACACTAACTGTACACTGTATCAAATCAGCTTTCTTTAACTGGACACATTACAACATAGTTACATGTGTACACAGAGGCGTATTGGAGGAGAGTATTTGGGCATATTGGTGCTTGAAATTAAGACATTAATGCCAACAGGTGCATGTCAGAATCAGAGCATTAGTGTCTTGTTGCCAAACAAGTAATATGAATAGTTTCATTACAAACCGACATATTTTTTGACTGATGAGTATGGAGAGTTAAATTCCACTCAGGAGAAAACTGCCCTCAGACACATTGACAGCCAGCACTGAATTTCTCAAATTTGGCCTCAGACTGAAAACTATGAATCCTTCAGACATGACAAAACCTTGGTCCATTTAATTGTTGCCCTTTTCAGATCAGTATTTCATATACAGTAACTACAAGCTACATGTAAGTAAAGAGTGAGTGGAAGCAACACAAAAACAAGCAACAAGTTAAATTAGTTTCAGTCAGGTATGTATGTGTTTGTCTCCAATAGTAATCAACCTCTTTCTTCCTGTATTTTCAAGCAAGCAGACTCAGCCAAATATACTCATTGCCCCTGAGTTCTAGATTTCCCTCAACTGGCACACACACACACACATTCCTGCAACTACACTAAGAAAACAGCCACTGGTGTAATTCTAAACCAGTAGGGGAAAAATGGCCCTGGATCAGGACAGTGTGCCTGTAAGGGATTAAATTCAATTCAGTTCAGTTCAATAAACGCTAATCATCCTCAAGGGGCAACTGATGTGGCAGGCAGAAAAATAATGCTCTCACACCAAAAGTACAACTCAGGTTATATACAGTGGGCACAGACAGACTGTGGAGCCCCCTAACTGCAGAGATAGTGTATGATACCACTTAAAGAACTACTGTTACTATCTAATGGTATATAATCTCCTATTTGTTCGTGATTTTAATTCTTTTTTATACACACACTACAGGTGGATCTGGGTCAGGCCACAACTTCATTGTGATGAAAAAGCACAAAGTGGAACTGCTCATTCATTTGCAATATTGCCTGCATTGGCCTAATTCAACTGGAAATAATTAAGGAATAACGTCCGTAGTGGAAACTGCATAGTAAAATCTGTACCAGTTAACAAATCTTTACTGTCTATATAATATTATAATATATATATATAATGTCAGTATAATATTGCCAGCTTGATGCAGGATTTGCTTAAATAACCAGATCTACATTATGTGTGTGATAAAAGTGAGCAATGTGAGGCTTGGCATTGTCACTGGACAGTATGCTTACAACTGCTTTCTGTAACTTCCACTGATAATAAGACATTGTTTTAGCTTTGATTTATTGTTTGCATTATTCCACCACTAATGGCCATGCGAACTGTTTAGTTTTTACAGTTTGTAGCTGTTCTATTGTTTATTGTTTGGGATCAGTCTAATGTTGTAAAGCCTTTAAACAATGTTTAAATGTTTTTGTAAACACTACTAAAGTCTATTATTTATGCAGTTAAAAAAAGTAATATTTGAGCAAAAATAAAAATTAATCAATGAAAATAAAATCACATAACAAGGTTGTTTGAGTTATATATATATAATATTTAGGTTTATATTGTTGATGTTGCATTGTAGTCCAAGATTCTGGTCACGTTCCTTCACAGATTAGAAGAAGTAGCAAGGACATAAACTACATTGTTCATTGTATATTGCTACTATAACAAGGTTACAAGTCAATTAATCTCAACTTGGAGTATAATTACATATGAGTTTGCTGTTTCTATTCATAATAAAACAACACAACACAATAATAAAACAACACAACACAATATCTCACTTCATGGTCCATGTAGTACAGTAGCTTTTCTTGAGCATACCACATGATGTTCAGCAGATGGAATTTGCCCATTTATTATGGAAATATGGATGTTGAAATTTCCTCTTTTTTTGAGCACTTTAAGGACTTCTTGTCCCTGTTGGTTTAAAAGATTAAAAAATAATATTATAATTGTTTATGCAATACACTAATGAGGTAAATCTATGTCAAAATCTTTATTGATCTCCCTGTTAAAATCTGTATTAATCACAAAGGAGAAGATGTCGATAAAGAGAAACAGATGAGTTAGGGAAGGGCATAGAAACTTTTTACGCAAGTGAGAAGCTAATTGTTGTGCAAGAGGGGCTATAACTCAATATCAGGAAGAAGATGTTCCCACAATTTTGTGCAGTGAAAATGTTTTATATTTGGTGTCTGAATAAAATTAACAAATTCAAATAAATATGTTAACAAAGGGGCAACCTTGAGTGATGGATTAGACCTTTACAGACAGCCAGTCACATTAGATTAGATCTGTGGAGGAAAGTGGATGAGGAAAGACTGGAGGGAGCAGATCTTGGAACAGCAATGCAGCTATTTCCCGTGTATTTCAGGGCCAGGCCTCCAAAACCACCAGATGTTTACCACCAACCCAGCTGCTTTCTCTCTCTCCCCTTCTTTCTCCCCATCTCTCCCTCTTAGATTTTTTTTCTCTGCGGACCTTTAAAGCAAGCCCTCCCTGTAATCATGCACACTCAGTTCACCAGACTTCTTTGAAGTAAGTGGAATGTGTCCAGCCATATGATAGTATGTATATTCTTATAGCACAGAGAAAGCAAAGCAGAGAAAGCGGGAAAAGAGATTGTTGGAGTGCTGCCAGCTCTTCGGTGTGGTTTTTCTAGATGTTAATTATGCCCTCGCTCCGATCTTACATGCCTGTGTGTTCATGTATGTATTTTTGTGTGTATGATGTGTGTCCATCAGCAAGTGTGTGTTTGTGCACATGTGTTCGCTGAAAGGCTAGTCTGTGACACCAGGTGACAGATGATAATGGGCATCGTCTGGCAGCAGAGAAGACCAGGATGGAACACGATGGTGCGTGCATGCGTTTGTGTGTGTGAGGTGTTTCCCCCCATAGATGTGAGGATGGAATTTGGCTCATCATGAGTTCAAAGGAGTCAACTCAAAGCCCTCTGCACACCAACAAGAGTAGGCATGCCTCTGTCTTTCTTTCTCTCTCTCTCTCTCTCTCTCTGTGTCTTTGTCTCTTTGTCAACCTCTCTCACCCCCCAAAAAATTCTTTTTTTTCTTAGAGTTCTGCAATGCAGCTGGTTGGTCCATCAAACACTTACTTCACCTACTCATGTGATGTGTGTGTGTGTTTGTATATGCATGCCCTGAATTGTATGTGTGTGTACATGTGTCTGGAAAAAGACAAGAAAGGAAGCTGGATATTATTTTAGGACGTGATCAGCTATTGTGATTCTATTACTCATCACCTCCTATAACAATAAAAACACAGTTACATAATACTCCACTTTACAATATGTTACATTACATTACATCACATTATATTCCTCTTTAAATGACAAAAAAAGAGTTGACAATTATAAAGAACAAATGTATTCAATACATACATTTTTACCTGATGATGGGTCTATAGGAAATGTGGGGGTTTATTACAATTCATCCTGAGAGGGACACAAATGTCTGTACTTAATCAATCCATCCAATAGTGGAGACATTTCACTATAACAAAAATGTCAACCTGCTGGTGGCGACCGAGAAAAAGTCAGTCATTCACCCTGTGGCCACCATCAATGTTTGTCAGTCCAGTATTTGCAGAGATTTTTCAGTCAGGACCAAAGTGGTGGACTGACTGACAGACTGACCAACCGACCGTCAATGCCATCCCTAGTGCCACACTGCTAGCATGGCTAAATCATCTATACATGGTGGCTTTAAATGTTTGGTATCTTATTTGGTATATATATCCAATATCTCTTGTATGTCTGGAACAAGCAGGATATCTAATTCAAAATCCTTCTGTGCCCAAGACATCTCTGTCTCTCTTTGATAAGATGAATTGGTTCCATTTATTTCCTCGCTCTTTTCAGGATTTTTCCAGGCAGCTTTATCCAAAGCTCATGTTTCTGGTATTACTGGTATGTCTGGACTCAACTCTCCGTCTTTCCTTCTTTGATGATGAATTGGTTCCAGTTGCTTCCT